GCGAGCGGTGAGCGGGTAGCCTTCATGCCATGTCTGGAGCACCCGCTGCAGGAGCGCTCGTAGCACGTGATCCTAAGCAATTGCACTAGCTCGCACTTTTAGAGGACGCTGTTCAGTGAATTCAGCCCCCGACTTCCCTTTCATTGCTCAAATGTCATGCGTTGCCTTGCGTCTTTGCGTCTCGTAGTGCTCTCGTCGACCTGGGCCCGTTTGCTCGAACAGCTAACCGCGGCTAAAGTTAGCCGCAGTACCTAGGAGAGGGATTTTTTAGTCACGTGACTGGCTCGGTAGGGATACGGGGAGCTACGCATTGCCCCGTCGCGTCGTTCGACAAAATGGCTGCGGCGTACGCAGTTTCCGCGGTCGCGATCGCATTGGTGTTTGTCTTCAGAGCGATGATTTAGGTTCCGTGTTCTAAGTTAAGAGTGTACAAGTATCCTACGTGCGCCTTAAAGAAACTGACATTTCGAGGGGACTGCGACTGAAGTCGACGGCAGCAGCCCGTCGACAAACAGTGGCTCAGAGTCACCGATTTGTAGAAGTACAGTGGCCCGGAGTCGCCGACTGTCGAAGCTTCGCATCGGCTTCATTGAAGCACGGCAAGAATCATGCATCGCAGCGCCGAAATGTGGGATGCGTTCCAAGGAACACGATAGCCGAGTACGACAAGCGTTTTACGGTGAGCACCAAAACATTTCGCGATAGGGTTGTGATGAGGCCAGCCTCATACTCACGTTATGTTGAGCGCTGTGAAACTAACTTCAAGCAGGAGCAGGATCAGAATACGTTTATTGAAAGGAAGCATTACGGAGAGTTGCCTTTTGAGTAGCGATTGCGGTTTATTGAAAGTAGTCACGCCGGGAAAATTTCTGTTCAGGGTGTCCATTTTGTACAAAATCCTCGTATTCTGCTTACAGTGCGACTGCAGCTGCAGCATCAACCGTTCTGCAGATAAACGGCGGACAGAGGCTCAACGGTCCAATGGATTTTAGCAGTGATGAGTAGCAGAACTTTCTCTGGGTTTAGTGAAATGCTACGTTGTCCATAAAAGACCAGTGACCTGCCGATCGTTCAATTCACTCGCCCTCCAAGAAAGCCGGTACATGCAGTTTTTCCGAATCAACTCCGTTGTGCCGTCTGCGAAAGTTGTAGAACCGAGAAATAAACAATACTGAAGTTGTTGGAAATGCACTTGTTTGTTATTTCGCGTTGCTTCTGAAAAAATATTTTACGGTTAGCAGGAATAATGTTGCAATTGTGTAGATAAACAAACCAAGGTAGCAGACGATCATGCTCCTTCTGCAAACGAAAATGAACCGAGCGACTACCTCAAAGGGGACCGCGCCGCTGCGTCAAAAGAATTGGACCCTAGATGAAAAATTGGAATTAGTCCGGGAAGTTGAGGCTCGAAAATACCAAATCCTGGGAAAATTCGGCCCTACCGTGACTACTAAAACCAAAAGACGCGCCTGGGACCAAGTCGCCAATTCCATGACCCGCCGCCACCAAGTTCCGCGTTCAGTGAAACAGCTTCAAGAAGCATGGAGAAAATTACTTAAAAAGTGCCGAACTTTGTACAGATTGTACAAAGAACATGACCAACGGACAGGTAAGTTCCAATATTTGCGCTACAAAAACAGAAAAAAGGGCGATATTTGTAAAATCTTTATTGGAAACTTTGGGTGCACTGTACAAATTTATTAGAGAGTGATATATTAGCCCCTCAAATTTTTGGGGCAAATATCTCAACCGAAGACCCCATTCAATGCGCGACAACTAACATCTCGCTCAATATCATGAGAGGGCAAGCCCAAAGATTAATTAGCTCTTACTCGCACAAGTTTCAACACAGTGGCACTAACACAGAAATAGCCCCAAAGCACCTTGGATCCTGTTCCATGCAGTGGGCCTGCGTAATTTCTCAAAATTAATGTCCAAATTTTGCTTGCCAAAAACATTGTCTTTAGCACTGTAAACAATGTAGACACTATTGTTCAACTAAACACAGAAGAAAAATGTATGTAGGCAAGTAGCGTGGGAACAAGGGCAGGGGGGCTTCAGACCCCCTTCCCCTTCCCCCCCCCCCCCCCCTTGAAATTTCAGACAGCTGCGGTAAACAATGCTGCAAAAGGGGGCGGGGTTAAGCTCAGAGGCCCCGTCGCCCCTCCACGTTTCAAACACTTCCGACGCAACCGATTCAGGCACAGAGTGGGCCAGGCTAGCCGGTAGCTGGCAACAGTGAGTTTGCTGTCAAACAAAAAAAAAAAAAGAAATAAATTGTCCAACATCACATATTACCCGAGACCGGATAATAGGAACCTGAGGGTGAAAAAAAAAAACGAAGGTAAGAAAACAATCTTATTATTATTGGCAATTACATGTTTACGCGTTTTCTGTTCATTCGCACATTGATACTATGTTGAATAATGAACACCCTGTCTCCCCTCCCCCACCTTTAATTGTGCTTACATCCTAGAAAACAAAATAAGTGTACTTCAATTCATAGGTGCTGGTCCCAACCCCCATCAGCTGACACCACTTGTCGAGACTGTTTTAAATGTGATCGGGGACGATTCCCCGACGATCTGTGGGATTGACGTCATCATCGGTGACACCGAAAAGTAGGTAACACTTTATAGGCCATGCTGTGTATGCTATGCTCCTGTTGATACTTTATACATTACAATACTAAAGTTGTAGGTATGAGCACGTGGCTTCGTCAATCACCTTACTTGTGCTAATTGAATGGCCCACCCTTACGCCTACAAGTTTGATATCGTTGCACACTGTATGTAGACTGTGACAATGGAGGCGATAGTACAGTGGAAGCTCTGCACCCAGTTACAGCTTACTAGCCCTGACAGCACAAGGATGCACAAGCAGCAGAAGAGAATGAGCACGCGCTGAAGGTGCATTCTTTTTCTGTTCTGCTCGTCACATTATGAGTACTTCCACAAGATGATAGTTATGAAACTGATGATAGGGATGTTCTGCTGTCACTGATGATAGGTATGAAACTGAGCACAGACACAAGGCATATCAAAAGTCACCAATTGTTGGCATGCTCCTAGAAAACATTGATGAGCATAGGGAACAGTTTGGATTGTCATAAAAGAATATATTGGTTTTCCATCTCAAAGTAGACATGTCAGTTGCATAACACTACTGCTGCGTGCCCTTACATAGAGACCAACTTCATGAAGCAAAACGACAATATTAGGAGCACGAGTCAAAACCTGTCCAGTAGAGAACAGAACACAGCACAAGGACACCACCTTCACATATTTAGCCATTTCTGCACTGCTGAAAAAGTGCCAATGAAACCATTTATTAGGGTAAATGCAGTAAAACTCACAGTTTGAAACTATTTGTACCACAAAATTACAAAGAAATATTTACATCATAATCAACAAAGCTATGGTAGTCTTTCTCTCAAGTTGAGATCACCTATTTTCTTCAAAGTCAGGTCACTCAATACCCAAATTTTTCCACTGTCAGTGGAAATGTTTTTGCATGATCTTCGTACATGCCTGCTAACGTAGCAAAAATCCATTCTTTTTTGGTAACGCTTATGAGATTAAGTTGAGAATGCACCAATGACTTATTCGATGCTGATCTGTGCCAACAAAATCTGAAAAAGTATCAATGTCCCAGTTAGCCGGACAGTGCTTGGGTACACAATAATCACATATGACGGCTGATGTGAGTGTGCCACATCTACTTGTTTTAAATCTTGTACAAATGTCTATGTGGCGACTCTACCAACCGCCAATGAAACAAAGTTGCGGGGTTAGGCACTCCAGTCTGTTGTACCACCAACATATGTGGTAAAATTATGACAAGTGTTACTGTCACATCTGGATTAAGGTTGCCGCACGTTGCACTCAGTTCTCCCACACATATATGTACCCTGATCCAGGGTGACGTCAAAAATGTCATGCACTGCAGCCCTCATGCATCACTTGGAGAGATAGAGGACGGAGAGAATCATGTCACGGAGGACGTACGTGCACGAGTATGGTGTCTAGTCACAATCCTTTGCTTCAATGCTCTGAGCAGCTCTCTGGAGCTGTAGCCCTTGCAGTTTGCTAAGTTATGCTGAAATTTACAAGTTCACTCCTGCCCAACAATAGCCCTCTGTGAGCTGCCATTTTTCTCACTGCGCATGCTTGGAACACGTCCCGAGCATTAACTTTATGCAGGACAATATTGTACCTCGGGCTGCCATCCACAGCCAGTCAGTGACCTGGGTTTTTAAGTTTGCTGATAATCGTTGTAAAGGCTTATGCGTTAAAGGGATACCTCAACGAAATTAAAAATATACCCGTCGTGTTCAAAAATAGGTTGAATATGATCCACTGTATCCCTAAATGACAATCGCACGTTTGTATTTTGAACCTGGTGGCTATAGTTTTCGTTACAAACGGCCCACCCTGACAAGCGCTCGGAGAACAGCCAGCGGAGAGCATGTGACACCCAACGCAATCGTGACGTAGTTCGTCTCGGGACGAGCAAAGCTGCGACGAGGCTGACGTCGAGAGGATGGCCTAGTCGTTCCAGCCACCAAAGCGGCTGCTTTTGTACGAATTTTGAGTGAAGGGTTAATCTTTTATAATCTTGTAGGGGGACAATAGCAACTTCTGGGACATACAAAAAGGATTCTTTGGAAGAGGAGAGTTCCTCCTTCCCCTCTTCTATTGTGGTAGCCGGAGGCGAGACAGTTACCGTCACTAGCTGTCAAGGTTCTTAGACTGGCATTACAAACGAGGCGTTAGCGACATCCACCTGGTGCTCTTTGCCAATCGCTTAATTCGTTTTAAAATTCCTTTTCGTGACTTTTTTAACAAGATATTGTTGTGTTCGATGTGATACTGTTCCTTCGAACACATATAGACCAAAAAATGAAACCCGAAATTTCGTTGTAGTATCCCTTTAACCTCAAACAATTTCCTGGTCATGCGTGTCACTACAGCAGCTGCACGGGAAGGGGGACGACGCCGCCACCCTCGTCATCTGGCAGCAGTACAGTTGAAGACGACGCAGCACAGAGAACACTGGCCTCTCCTGTTGTGCAGCACAACCAGCGCTGGACCCGTGAGGCTGCACAGCAGTACCAGAGAAGGGCCGAGCGACAGCAGGATCTGGAGCATGAGAATATACTCCTTGAGAGAAAGTACACAAATGGGGCCATACAGGCTGCAAACGCAACCCTCGCTGCAGCAGATGCTGCACGGAGTTTCTATGCTATAGGGGAGGAAGTGCTCAGGGAGCAAAGAGAACTCATTAGACTTGAAACCACCCGAGCACAGCTGCAAATTGAACTGATAAAAAGACAATTAGGACAAGATTAACTCATGTAATGAGCTACTTGCATTGTTTGTCGCTGTGTTGTATACATATTTTGCGTTTTTTCTGACCTACATACTTGGTTGCACGATTATAACGCTCACATTTTTTTTGCCAAAATGGGTGCCTAAAATTAGATGCACTTACAATTGAAACCAAAACTCAAAAGAAAAACGCAAGGCAGCTAGCCCAATCGCCTTTGTGACCGTTTGTTTACATTAGATATTTTGGTATCCGTATCGCGCGTTCTTTCGCCTTTATGTCATCACACTGACGGGAAACGATAACCACGGAGCGACAGTGCGTAGCCTCGCAATCCCAGCGACCCAATGAGCTCGCGAAGTGTTGTATGAAAAAAAAAAAGTGAAGGCCGTTTACAACTCTGTAACGCCGAATCAGAGCGCAGCTCTTGAGGAGGAGTAGGGAAGGGTACTGAGGGGCAGGGGGGTCACGTGACCTCGGCGGGGGGGGGGGGGGGTCACGTGACCCCCAGGTCACATGACCCCGCAGAGAAATTTTTCCGCTAGGTTTAGCGGACAAATTTTTCCGCTAGATTTAGCGGGGAATTTTTTCCGCTAGATTTAGCGGGGAAATTTTTCCGCTAGATTTAGCGGGGAAATTTTTTCACTAGATTTAGCGGAGAAATTTTTCCGCTAGATTTAGCAGAGAAATTTACCCATCATGCACCGGCGGTTACGACGACGGCGACGGCGACGCCGCTCAAGCCGGAAACGAGCGCCTAAGAGCTGCACTTATGGGTGTTCAAAGTGCATTACTTTACCTGCGCGGTAGAATCGGCAGCAATTAAATTTTTCGATATCTGGGAGCTAAAATTGCCTGCATGTAAGTATCGGGGCCACGTTAGAATCGTGCAAACATGGTATGTTTGACACTTCATTTATTTTATGCATGCTATCTACAAGGGAAGCTTGCACACAATCTTTTCCATGTCGTTGACTATCCCTACACTAGACCAGCGTGGTTGTTGTGATCGCAATATTTTACGCTGTGGTTAAGTAAGCAACAGAATATCATACTGGCAGTATGGCACCCAGGCTTTCGACGCCCCAAAGGTGGCACATAATTTACATGGATACCTAAAATAAAAATATGGGTTAAGCTCAAAGGCAGATGTATAATTCCTTCTTTCCTATATCCCTTCACATGTTTCCCTTTCATAACGCGGCTCCCCGTCACAGCTCAAGAGAGGAGGTCGCCAAGACGATTAGCCTCCCGGCAGAAGACCAAGGTCGAGTTTCTGTGTTTTAAGAAAATGTTCGAGTAATCGATGAGTGGACCACAGACACTTTCTGACTTGCATCTGCAAATATTCCTTCTGCTTTTAAGATAAAGGCTTTTTCTGCCTGGATATGCTCCTGCGACCTATGGACTGTGTGCTGCTTATGTACGAAAAAGTTCATACTAAGAATATCCCGAAACTCAGGAACAGAAAAAGGGATCAAACACAACACTACATCATTTTGTTGCGTGTGTCACCTTTTGGGGCCCCGGGTCTTCAACTCTTATTACTTTGAATCGTCACCACTTACCTTGTTCTTTAAGTATTTATTTATTTATTTATTTATTTATTTATTTTATTTAAAGAGTACCTTCATCGCCTCGAGGGCATTATTGTAGGAGGGGTGGGAAATAACACACATACATAAAAACACAAAGTGATCACTTGTCCGCACGGAATAGATATACAACCGAGAAAAAAAATACACTGTTATCCAACACAACAGTTTTTTGGAGCTGAAATCTACTTGCTGCTTGTACGTAGGCTCGCGATAATTCGAACTCGGATATTTCGTACTTCCAGTTGATTCAAACAGGTTTAAAAATTTTGGTTGTCCCGCTAAGCTTTTTTATGTATTTATAAGCCACTTAATTCGAATGGCGTTTTCGCTTAATTCATAGTTTTTTGCTCTCGCGGCCCTGTTGAGTGCGCTTCTTTCCGAGCACCGGTGCACCGCAGAGAAGCAATACCTGCGGAGCTTGCTTTTGCGAGTGTTGCTTCTCCGCAGTGCACCAGTGCTCGGAAAGAAGCGCAGTCAACGGGGCCGCGAGAACAAAAAACTATGAATTAGCGAAAACGGCACACATGAACGGAAAACGGCGTTCAAATTATGTGCTTCAAGACTAGCAATGATGACCAAGACGACAACGAGGACGAGGCACAGCTCACTGGCATCATGATTTCTGGCCTTGAAACACGTAATGTGAACGCCGTGCAGGCGAACTATATTAGTCTTGACAACGATGTGTGTGTTTGTCATGATGACTCATTAGAGGACATAGTACGGAAAGTAATGCCAGCACAGTGCAGCAGTGACAGTGAAGATGACGATGAAGAAATGGATGACCCACTACGAACTGTCACAGCCGCAGAGGCCTTTGAGCACATCGCTCAGCTCCGGAAGTTTCTGTCTGCAAAGGAAAAGTCCCGTAAAGAGCTGCTTGCGTTGGCTGGCATTGGAAATTTTGTTTTGAGATCTCATGTGCTGACTAAACAGTCCACAATTGACGACTTTTTAGCCGGATGAATAAACTTAGTCACAGTTCTTTCACAAATGTGTTATGCCTGTACTTGCTTATAGTTATGCATTAACTATAAGCAAGCTATTGTGCTATGTAGAGGAAACTGGCCAAAATCTGCTTTGTATATATCGCTATCCATGTAACAAATCATAATGTTCTCTAGTATCATATATATCCAACTAAAATATGTGACTTTCTGGAGTTTGAATTAATGAGAGTGTAGTATGTACAATAAAGCTCCTCTCTGGACAATGCCCTACTAAAAATAAATGTTTTGCAAATGATGTTATCATGCCAGCCAGGATGAAGAAAATATGAGCTAACCCTAGGAGGTTTGTGAAAAATAAGAGAAAAGCTTTGCAGGTTGGAAAAACCTGTGAAAGGTGTTATGACTCAACACTCAGAAGCGTACACTATGTAAATCCTATGAGCTAGTAACCATGAGTATGCAGTGAAAAATGAACATTCTATGGGGTAGTATATATAATTTGTACTGATAGCTTTGAAATTGGTATCAAATGAACATTGTTTCACTATACTCTCCTATTCATGCTCCCATTAAATAGTATCGGTTTAGTACCCATTAAATAGTATCGGTTTGTAGATATTGAATGGGAAAATAACTGTCTTCTTCAGTTGCCTCATTATAAACTGTGCACACATAGTCTGTTATAGGGCTGACTTCAGCACTTCCCATAAAGCATCCGTCGGTGTGGGAAATGTATTACAAAAAATAATGACAGTATAAAAAGAGAGCTCCAGAGAGTGCGAAGAAGTGCACAAATTTGAAGAAGCATCCCTCGTGTCATTAGTTAGAAGTTTGAAAAGTGCATTGTTATGAACTCCGGAAATCAAATTCAAAATCTATTAGTTTAAGAGAGCCCGTGTGTGCCTATGCTTGTAGCTCTGCGAGAGTGCAGGAGTTGATGGGGAGGAGACCAAAGCAGTAACAAGCAGTTGAGCTGCAGCGTGCGATTGCAGGAGTGTTGGACATTGCACTGCACTCCCGTTTGACCAATAGCTTCGGCAGGGATTTTTTTCGAGCACACTCTTTCCAACGAGCTAATTATAAGTGCCTCAAATGACACATTTCGAGCTTTGTAACAATAATGCGGGAAGTAAGAAAATTTTTTTTCATTACCTATTTCGTCGCTCATGCTGCAATTTACACATACTGCTATGGAAGCAACAGGTATAAGGGGATGTCCATCAATCATTCTTTACATTTCTATCATCCAAATTTCAAAACTCTATGTGGGATATCTGCAAGCACTACCCGAATTGATCTGTGCAAGAGTGATATATGCATTGCTGGAATGTCATTGTCATGTTGATAACACACTTTCAGCATTGTCACATGTGTCACACTCCTTTATGGGTTATTTTGGGTAGAACTTATGATAATCTTACATCCAGTTAGATCATACAAAAAAAGCTTAAAATAAAATTAATCAATATCTCAAAGCTGTTGGCTTCTTGCTAACTGTGCAGCACGGTTGAGCCCCTAACTGTTGCAGTTTCCAAAAATACAATTGATGTTTAAGTAGCAAAACAATAAATATTATTTCAAGCAATTATTTGATCTAGTTAGACAACTGTCTGACATAATTTTCTTATAATTATCTGCAAAGCCTGATAAACAAAAGGTGAAAGCAATAGCCACGATCATAACAAAGCATCTTGCATTAGAAATGGACAGCCAGAAGATACCTATCCAGACACTTACACTTAGCCGAAGAAATGGTTGACAATAAAGTCTCGGGCCTCGTTGCTCTCAGCACGGTTGGCTGCTACGGGCTCAACGGGAACCTCAGCGGGGATGGCGGCCACGGGTGTCCTGCAGGGGTACCTCTTGGCCAGGTTGTGGAGGGCACAGCACGCGACAATGATGTCGCAGCACCGTTCTGGAGCCATTCGGAGCTCAGCGTGAAGGCAATGGAACCTCCGCTTGAGTTGGCCGATTGTCCTGTACAGAGCGCATGGATCAAAACCACATGTTATTCCTTCCCAGAAACCCAATAGCAAAATCGGACAACAGCGTGGAACGCAAATACTCAAGAGGATGACACGCAACAAGGACAAATTTACAGCTGAATTCGAATCGCAAATTGGCTGCCGTGCCCGATATCACACCTCCTAATTTTTCCAGCCCAAGCTCCAGCCCATTGCTCCAGGATATCGAAAGCTGGGCATTATGCATACCATTTTATTTTCCTTCCGAATTATTTTTACACTGCGTTCACATCCGGGGTCACCTGAGGTTAGCCTGTGCAATGTATTTTATAGAAAGCAACAAGCAAAGTGCAGCTTTATTCAAGCGCTATCCTCAAAGGGTTTCGTGGATATGCTTCCAACCAAACACCTGCATATGCACAGGCCAATATGTTAGAATTTTTTGCTACCTGATTGCTGCCAACGCTGTAAGAATTAACTTGTAACCAAGCTTTATACTGCAACAAATACAGTACCATCAAAATTTCATTCTACATGTTACTTGTGAGACAGAGTGAAAAGAGAAAGAGAGCCAGACTCTTGTCTTGTTGAGCCTTTTCCCTTCCACTCTCCAGGAATAGATGTTCGTGGTAGCGCAACCCATCTACTTTTGTCATTGATCAATAAGAATCCGTCTTGTAAGTCTGGGAGATGTAAAACGTAAAGCACTTGATATAACGCCTTATCCAAGTACTCCTACCCTTTGATTGTGCCGCTAGTGTTCCTATTAGTTAGTGGTCCACGCACCGCCATTTCTGACTCAAGTGGAAGCTCCTGGACGCATGCAGCCAAAGTTTTGGTAGAGGGTCTTATGGCGCTTTCACAACGGAATCCCAAGCAAGATTTGCCTGAACATTTGAGATTGCAGCGACTCATCATCAGTCGTGAATGACGTGTAAGATGGTGTCTAGAGACTATTTGTGGAAACTTGTTATTGCATGCTCAACTTCAACATTGTCCAAAATGATGCCTTGGCACTACTCTTAAATCCATCGATGAGAGCAGAATAGGTCATGCTAGGCATGTACTCTTGGCCAATCGGTCAAGACGGTCAGCAACACACAATTGTTTGCGACTTACACCGATGTGCCGCTATTTTTGGATCACACGCATCTTAGCACGCACGAGCTTAGCTGTACTTGTGCACTCAATATGAGTACATACATATCTAGCACGTTTAGTTAGTTTTCATTAAACAGCCCGAAACTGACATTTCAAAAAGTAGACATATGAAAGTGCCAAGGCACAGTGTTACTTCCACTGCTGTGTCTAGGAAAAAAATTCCATTGTCATTAATGCTTCTTTTTGTCCAATTAACAAAATATCAACTTCTGTCCGGGTCTTGCGTAGCACTGGCACATGAGGTGAGTTTAGTGCTTTTCCCCATTATTGCCAGTCCTGGGGACCTAAGACATAACTGAGTTTCTGCATTTTCAGTCTCAAGCGATAAAACCCAATAAAGTGTGGTGAGGTAAGTTTCGAAAGTTTGATTTTAAACCTAAATGGTCAGTACTTTAGACCATTACAGGTGCATGTGACCGAGTAAACAGAGTATAGAAGCATGTGACCGAGTAGTCAACTATCTTATCTCCGTGCTTTCAAACTATTCTGTTGGAAGCACACTTTAGGAAGTATTTGGGTTTGTCATCGATGCAATTTGCGTTCCTTTGTCCATCAAGTTTGCTGTGGTCGTCTAGAGGGCGGATTTGGAGCGTTTTCATTGTTTGTCAAGCCATTTGGTCTTACTTTTGTTCTGGGAGGAATGGAATGTCATTCTGTTCCTATTGTAGGGAGCATAAGAAAAAAACCAAAGCTGTTTAAACAGCCTCTCTCAAGGTGCTATCTGGTTAGAGGAAAGCAGCTTTAATAGTCCTCCACATGTGAAGAACAAAGAAGCGTGCCAAGAATTACGTTTGCAAATTTTGCGATTAAGAATTTGTCGTCACAGCACATGTATAACCAAGGTTACGTTTGCCATGTCCGCAAGTGTTCCCGCTTGACGAATAACTCAGATATGAACCTAATCTACTGCATTCTCGACAAACCTGCTTGAAAAAAAACGTAACTGGTCAATAGATATCGACCGGAAAAAGGCAGTAAGCTTTCGACTAAAAATATTCATCGATAAAAACTGAAAATTTCATACTCACAATAACAACCGAAAAAAGTATGCCGATTCCAGAAAAATAAAAACTGAAACCGCAGAACCCTAGGCAGCTATTATAAGTTGTATTGATTCGTAATCTCAGGATACTACTTTCATCTTGCTTACATAAAACCACGGTATCTTATGCTTCGTTAGATTAATATAAAAATTTGTATGAATATTTTTATGCCATAAAGAATAGCAACAGACGTAAGGAGCATGCACGTGTTGCACATATTACGTCAAGACAGCTAGTCGTCTCGAAATGTCTTGCATGAATATCTCTGTGCCCTTCACAATATATGGCCTAGATTTACCGTTCAACAATGCTTCTTGTCGTCGTGTGTGCTGTATTGTATGCGACCTCGGCTGCTGATGACGGCGACAGGAATGGCGTCATCAGCCAAGGTTGACAGGAGTAGCCGCTGTCACCAAGCAGCAGGCCGTCGTACTCTCCACTGGCCAGCTTGACTGCCAAGGTGCTCTCCGTGAAGATCCGAGAGTCGTGGGTGCTTCCAGGCCACCTTGCAACCACGTTGCGAATCCGAGAAGAGGCGTCAACGACCACCTGTACGTTGATGGAATGGTATCCATGGCGGTTGACGTACGCCTCCTCGTGCACATGGGGTGCTTGGATCCGGACATGGGTACCGTCAACAGCACCCACGACCAAAGGAAAGCCGGCCATGTCGTAGAACTTGTGCTGCAAGGCTGCCCCCTCCGCAGCGTCAGGCCATCTGCGTCGTTGATCCCCTCAGCAATTAAACCACATATAGTAAACTTACAGCTACAATGCTTATGAATACCTTTTTAATGAGGAATGCTAAGGACTTTGGCTGTGCCCTTCAAGTTTGTGGTAGCAGTAAAGTGCCTCAGTAGCACCTGTTCAATAGTGAAGTTTGCATGTTTTCATAGGATCCCTTTTTATTTTTGTTCAGTTACCAAGACCTATAAAGTGACTGTGATTCGGTGCAAGTCCTTACCAAAAGTGCAAACGGGTCGCTTTCTGAGGTTTCTCAGAAAAATGGCGTGCCCGGGCCCTTTCCAATCGAGCAAGTAGGACGCTTACGGCCGTAATCATTTTTTTTTCTATTGAAAAGGGGGGGGGGGGGGAGGGAGGGCTAGACTAGTAGGTAGAATATTACTGCCATAAAAAGGCAACCTACAAAACATCCCTATCACCAGCAATTCAGATATATTTTTAGTGTATTTACTTTACTTCAATACGGCTGGCAAACTACAATTAAAAGGAAAAAAAAAGGACCCTTACCGTATGAAGTCTTGTGCTCGACGAGCCAGCGCTACGGTGACTTGCCTCACAGCCCGTGAAGCACTTGACACATGCACGCGGATGTAGTCGCCTGCAGTGATCAGAAAGTTCCCAGTTGCGTAGAACTGCAAGGCGATGATCACTTGCTGCTCCGCAGAGAGGGCGCGGCTACGACGTGTACGGCGCTCCAAGTCCGGACGCAGTGTGTCGGCGAGAAACATTATGCCCGCTCTTCCAAATCGGAACCGTTGCTGCAGCCCATCCTCCTCGAAATCCTCAAAGGGGTTCAGGCGGTCCCGCAGCACACGCTGTCGCCTCATCATTGCCGCTGCGTACTGCGCGTCCGTGCGGTCTCTTCTGTGTCGGCGATTCCTTGCGTTGGACATTCTGCCCGGTAGCAAAGTCGGAAATCGGTCCGCAAATCTTATCAGTCAGTCCGTGGCCGGTCGGAGGGTTTGTCGGTGGGTCGGTCGGTCGAAGGGCAGAATACAGACAGGAAAACTCAGATGATAACCGAAAACGAGAAACGCGCGTTGCGTGCAACGAGGCGAAACTGGTTGTATAAACAAACGCCGTGCACGCGACACGGCACACACGGCGTTGCCAGACTTGGAAGCGACGGTCGACGCACTTGCTTTTTGCAAAACACGACAACAGAAAACTGCAAAGCACTTTGACTAGGTGTCTTGTCTACGCTTCCACACTTCGAAAGAAAGAATTTCGATGCAAAAAAGAAACTATCCTTTTTCTTTTCAATTGAGCAAACGTTTCTTGCAAGTTACAACTAGATTTAGCCGAAAACGGTTCCCATAAAGCAAACGTTGTATCATAAAAAAATAACGATTTATTTTTTTCAGCACAAGGTGGCGCAGGCTCCAGCCCAATAATAAAGGACGGATTTGTTTTATGTCCAGCCATTAAAGTTTCGTAGTAGGTACAACGTAGGTACAACTAGGTACTTTCGGTACCTACTAGGGACTTTGGCCAACGCTAACCGCGGTTAGCTCTTCGAGCAAACGGGCCCTGATGGCTTCTTTGTTATCTGCACTCACTGCAGAGAACAACTTCAGATGCGAGGCGGTCCAAAGGAAACCTTGGTACGGGAGAACCTAGGCAGGCACCTGTCGTCGGACTACTGCCACGAGTGTGAGCAGCCTGACCATCATCAAAAGTGGTGACTGGCAAAACCTACAAACAAGCAAAGGTGGAACGCCGTGGCGACGAATGGCCAAAGAAACCACTACAGACGCTGAACCCAAACACCCAGTGACCTATGGCCGTTACCGTCCCTGGGAGCAGAGAGGCAGTGACGCTAATCCCATCGGTATGCCGGATCCAGCCAAATAGTAAGATCATTGAACCTTCTGTGACAATTTCTTTGCTCGAAGTCCCCATGTCATGCTTTCAGGTGGTGAGGCCATTATCTCTCTTACAGGAGACTTTGCTTTAAACTCCCGAAATTGAAAGAGGTAAGCCTCAATACGTGTACACGCTTGCAATTACCTTCTAACACAGCATCCTCACCTGGAGGAGCCGGGATGCCGCAAATGCAGCTTAACAGGAACAGAATCAGCACTGCGAAATTGTGGTGCCAGTGATCTTGGGCCGAGATTTGATTGAAGGGAAAAGCACGACACTTGACTTTTCTGGCGGTGGCTGCCGGTTGGGGCAACAACCAAAGCTGACCCTGTTCACTGGCCGAGAGGACCGCACCTGTAACCCAGGGCCGTAAATGTAGAGGGCTTTTGTCATTCGTTGAGGAGTAAAGGAGACAGATGAGGAGGCACAATTGGCCGAAAGCGGGCTGGGCATGTTCCAGGGCGTCTTCAGAATATCGAATGAGGCCAACCAGAAGACGGAAATAATACCCTGGCGGTGGTCGCGAGAAACAAACCTTACAAGTGCGTCGGAGTAACTCTCGGTGACTGAAAATATGGTTCACGTTATGTTTCAATCATGGTCATCCAAAATCATGGTGGAAGAGTGTGACTAGCGAAACAATCGACATAATCCATACGCCAAGCGCCGAGGGTTGGGAATCTGCCGTCCGAGCGGTCACACTCGGCGAGCAAAACAGAGTTGAGCGGCGCATTCTTTTCTTACATCATTCTGCATGATCATGATCGAAACATCACGTGCACCCTTTTTAAACCATAAAGGGTTACTGCACTTCACTCTTACGCGCTTATTAAAACCTTAAACCAACATATACCTTGGACCAAAACAGTTTTTCGCTACCACCGCTAGGGGGTTTTTTAGGCTTCTGGTTGGCCAAGGGAGCATGTCTAGCCCACTTTCTGCGTCTGGTGCACGAAGTAGGGATACTATTTTTCGGTTGTTGAACCACCGGCAGACTACGCTCTAGCACTAGAGGCTACGAGTGCAGAGCTTTTCGGGCTCGTCCACGTCGAAGAAATACTGATGTGTCGGGGATCGTGCGGGCATAGGCTGATCATTCCGGGAAGACATAGGGCCCCCGCGTAGAGTTGCGACTACAGGTCCTCGCTGGGTTGGAGTCGCGGAACGGTGCGAGCATTGTGTCGACGGTCTTAATTTTATTAGTATTGCTGAACACGCTTCCTGCATTAGCCTGCCTCAGCAGTAGGGAACTAAAACGCCAGGGCACGACCTGAACAAAGGCCCCGTAGATTTATTACCAGGCATTTTCGTCCTACTTCACTGAGGCAGTAGGTAGCAGTTACTGGGGACCTGCTCCTGCTGATTAATGGTACTCTTTCTGCGAGTTTGAACAATAATGTGCCGCGAGATTCTGTCAAACAGGGGTCAAAACAGTTGGAAATGAAAAGAGGCTATCCTAGACTAAATCTCCTGCCTAAATGTCTCCTATGCAAATGACTGCACATAATGTTACACGAATTTTCATGACAATGTTCAGTTGGATGCACTTATAACAACTTCATTCCTCTTTCGGGTTCAAGATGTCCAATCAACATGCAAGATTTTCAAATACTGGGTGGGGGCTTGATTCATACTTTCCTGTGTGGGACGTTTTAGGAGGAAAATCTGTAGCAAAGAAAACTGCCGGCAGGACACCTGCAGATGATGTACACATCTCGAGAAAGAAGGACTGTCAAGGAAATTGCACTGTCGAGAACCCCGACTATTTCAGGGATCTCGCACGGCAGATCATGATATTCCAAATCTCAGGAAAGATGTCTCCCAGTTCGTGAGAAAGCAGTCGTCACCTAAGCTTATCTATCTTTAGCCAAGCTATACTGAATCTTGGCGTACAGACATGTAACTCAAAGACAGAAGAGACTACAGAAGTTGCCAATCGACTAACGATACTTTTAACTGGCCAAGAACCGGGCACATATAGAGAATGCAAAATAGACCAGGAAAGGTCACCTGTACATTCGAGCGAGGGAGTGAAAGTTAATTTAAATTGACTAAGAATCTTTCACGAGCAATTACAGGGTTGGTAGATTCCCTGTAATTAGTCTTCATTCAACACCTCAGCTGGCATCTCGTCTAGTAACTTGTTGCAGGATGAGCCTCAGCGTCGTCCTTCCGGGTGTTTACGAAGTGCACGCTACAAATCTTCGCTGACGTTGGCAATCGAAATTGAACCGCCCCACTGAAAAATAAATCAATAATATAAGATCTCTTCTGTGATGAGCGGAAAATCGACACGAAATAATAAAAACTATTTTTGTTCCTAAGAAGTAAAAACGTAATCAGGCTTTTCTTTATTATTATAAAGGAGGGGGGGGGGAGCAAGGCTGGTTGAGGCAGTTTGGATGTGCATTCCTTGTGTGTGTTGTTTGGGAGGGGGGATGCATATGTATGTTAAAGGGCCGTACATGATGGCTATAAACAGCTAAAAAAAACGGTAACAGCAATCAAAAAACAGACACGGCGAGAGAAAGCTGCGCTCGCAACGCCCAAAAGCCCCTCCCCTAGCTAGAAGTCAGATGACAAAGTAAGAACGGCAGGGCCTTGAACGGCCGACCTCCAGCACGTCTTCGTTGCCCTTCGCTGCGATTTGGCAGCACGTTCACGCTCGAGGCTCGCGAGACAGAAGCCCTATCGAAGTTTGGAAGCTAGTGCTGAAGGAACTGAAGCTCCACCCTGTCGTTCTCATCCTGACAGTAACTTTAGTTGCAATATTCGTGCCAAAGAGATCCAACATCACGATCCAGGCCCCGTCAAACACCTCAAGGGAAGGAACAGACGCGCACGTAAATCAAATATTCCGTCACGCAGGCACTGCCAACTGACTTTCCCGCGCTCGGTAGTCATGCTGTTCCTGTTCTGACACCAATTCTACACTCTAAGAAAAAAGGGAGGAAAAAAGTAGCAACGGCGCGCCTTCCTCCCTTCTACCGACGCGCCTCCAAGCGGACACGAGAAAAGGGGAGAAACGAAATGTTTTTCTCCTTCTCCAGGCAGACGGGAGAAAGCTTTCGCCCTCCCGACTCATCGTCTTTCGGTTTCGTTTTTCGAGCAGGTCGCGCACGTTGTTTAATAAATAGCTGTTGAGTCGATTGAGCTTCAGCAGCAGCGAAGACCGCCTGTAATTCCGTCTTCTAGTTTAAACGTCCAGAACATTTCGGTTGCATTGACATTTTTATCACTAATTTTATCAAACGAGCAAACGAAGCCGCTAGAAACAGCGAAGTCCCGGAGCAGTGCCAGCAGCGCCACGTACAGTGGGGGATGGCCGTCTCCGGATTGCGTGACTCGCGCGGCACGGAACTACAGCCACTGCAGGCTGCAGCACTACAGACTACAGTAGCGAAAGCACGCGGAATTGTGTCGACGTTTTCGACGTTATGGAAACCGCAGGAACTGCGTCCAAGACAGGCAGGTTTTGCTGCCGGCTGCCTGGGTGCCTTCCCCCCTGAGTTTGGTTCTGTTTTCCGATGCCGAGTGCAACCGGCGTTCAACGTGGTTTTGTGTTTGTGCGTGTCAGCAACATAGCTGCAACATCGTGATGACAGTGTCGGGTTGTGAACAGAAGACTGGAATTATCGCCGATGTGACCATTTCTTCGCGTATCAGTGGTGTAACAAGAAGATAAGATCGTAAACTGTTGGGCATTGATGCCGCTGGTCGGGTTGTGATCGGAGGGGGCGGGGTGTCGCAGGTTGACATTCCGCTTTACATTAAAAAGTTTAATACCACTGGAGGGATTACGTGCAATCGATCAACGTGCGGATAGTCATGGTCTGAACAGTAGAAGCTCCTATCGTACAGTGGCCAATGTGACTGTCGGAATTGTCTCGTCCCCGACAGCGATTGTGCTCAAGGGCAAGGACTGAACAGTACGAAATCGTGACGTAAAGTACGTATATTTACAGTATGGAATTTCGGCATTAAAAACAATAGTAGGTAAAATCGAAACAAAAGCTACCCTTTATTTTGCTGTTTAATTATACGGTTGCTGGAGAAACTGCCCTCCGTGGTGCGCTGGGATGAGCGCTAGAAGTTTTCGGGCTCGCCACGGCGTAGTTCCGTACACTTAAACCTGCCGCAAGTCGCGGCTTTGACTACATTCAAGTTGATCGAAAAGCAATTTCTCAGTCCGTGAAGCATCAGTTCCAGCTACTGAATATCCGCTCTACAGAGATTAATTCAAACGGCAATTGCAGCTCTGCGCGAACAGCACAAATAGAAAAACAAATAGAAATACAAGCTACGACGTGCCGTGTGGGGAAACAAACTCATGGCTTCGAACCGCATTGGAGCGGCTTGATTTATTGGCTTTCAAATAATTACGGCATGATTGAGCGTTTACTTTTTAATAAGAGATTCAACCCCTGAGCCATTCAAAATACTCAGAGGTATGACATTGCAGGGAAAAATTCAACATGCTGGGAATATTTTTTATTGCTTAGGGAGTCACCGAAAAGTTCCGCACGTTCAAAACGACCAGTATAAAAGACGGAAACGCAGAGCACGGGTGTAGTGTTCGGCTTAGTGTGGTGTTCCGTTGTATTGATATTTGTGTGAGCAGTGCATGTGCTTAATGTATGTTCACCTGATGCT